AAACCCTAAACCCTTAAAAAAAAAGAACCCTCAGATTCTCCAGGCCCCCCATCTGAGAGGAGCCCCAAATCCCCAGGATCATCGTCGTCTACTCGGCCACTGAAGCCGAGTTCCTCAGCCCCTTAGACTGGCACAACCGAAGAAACCCGGCAGCCGCTTTTGTGCCGTTTTTTTTGCTCTTCTTTTTGTTTTTCACAGCCTTGAAACCTAAACTCCAAAACCCGGTTTGTGCGGTTTTGTTTTGCTCTTAAGACCCTGCAAGCCAAGCTCCCGAGCCCCAGGCCCAGAACCTTTGAGCATTCCCCAATCCCTCAACCCTCGAAAGAGGCATCGTGGAGGGCGAGTTCACCGTCGAGGCCGACCGAAAGGCAAGGCCGTGGAGCCCTAAACCCTAAACCCCAAAACCCCAAACCCCCAAGCCCCTAAACCCCTAAACCCCTAAACCCTAAGCCCTAAACCCCAAACCCTAAACATAAACCCTAAACCCCTAAACCCTACAAGCCTTAAACCCTGAACCCTAAACCTTATTAAGCCTCAAACCCTAAACCCTATTTGACTTCAAAAAAACCCTAAACCCCTAAACCCTAAACCCTAAACCCTAAACCCTAAACCCTAAACCCCAAACCCTAAACCCCAAACCCTAAACCCTAAACCCCTAAACCCTAAACCCTCTTTGACCCCAAAAGGCCGTGGTGCGCCTTGGGGAGGTGGCTGTGGAGAGCAAGATCCGACATCTGCAGGAGAATGGGCCCCTGAACCAGCCTCCCGGGTTCGGTTTTGAATGTATTTTTGGGGCTTTAGGGTTTTTAGGGTTTTAGGGTTTAGGGTTTAGGGATTAGGAATGCAGGGGCCTGAAAAAAAATACCTATACTGTTTTGAAGGTTCAAAACCCTGCTCTAATTATTGAGGCCCCTACATTGGGGTTTTCGGCTTCTTCAGGGCCTATGGGGGGTTCTATAGGTGTTTAGGGTTCAGGGTCTATATCGGGTTTCGGGTTCATAGAGGGCTTTTGGGTGTTAGTTAGGGTTTGTATTACATCTTTGTATATACAGATGTATGTACACATATATGTGTATATGTATATATATGTTAATATATATATATATATTTGTGCATGCTAGCCACCCACCCCCGCCCAAGAACTACCGCGAGGTGCCGCGATAGCGCCACCAATGCTCCTACGTTCAAGCTTCAGGTGTATGATCCAGGTTTAACGTCAGGTTTTGAAGTGCAGAGGAGGCAGAATATGCATGTCGCTAGAAGCCTTCATTCTGTCTTGCGACCCTTCACGCAGATACTCCGAGAGATGGTTTCTCCAACGATGACAGTCATTTCTGTCTGGGTAGCCTTCGCTGTAGTCTCAGATCAAAGCTCCAGCAATAGACTGATTCTTACTCCTAACCCTAAGAACCCTCCCATTAGACCTTACATTGGCCCCAATGGTGACAGCAGTCTTCTATTTCATGTTCACCCGAAATAGAGCCCTTATGGATTCACGTCTTGGTACATATGGATTAAAATGCTATGTCAACTGAACCCCATTATACATTCCCTTCTTAACTCCCATATCGACCTGAAGGTCAATATACTAGCATACATCAGCCTGATTGGCCCCCGATAGTAAGGATATTGCAGTTGCTTTGGCAACCCTGATATTGGATATGACTCCAAGATGGACCTTGCCCGCGCACTTAATATTATCCATAAGCTGTTCACATTGGTAACCTTCCCATCAACAGCAACCCAAGTAATGGCTTTACGAGAACCCCGAGCATTGGCCTCATCAAAAGGTTATGAATTAATCCAGATGTGGCTGTGGGAGCCTTTGCACGAGCATTCAAGTCCCCGAAGTTCAAAGTCGCGGCATCCCTAATACTACTGTATTTACTGTTAATATGAGTACAGGTAAGCTAAATACTTGCCGAACACTTGCTTCAACCCTTCGTCACATTCACGCAAATATGAAACCACACAACGATACCCATAAGACGATCCTTGCTGTCTTCGCTCTGGCGTTGCCCAAATGACGGCTTTTTAGAGATGATCCCAACATTTATTTGTTTACCTCATCATGCTGTATATGGCACCCCCGTTCCCAGTGTAGCATATGATCTTCTCGGAGTTGTTGTCGGACTTGCCCGTATGCGTGTATGTACATTTATGTGTGTATATACACATGCTACCCCTAAGGTTAAAGGTGTACTAGATACCAACATAATAACGAGGATCGTTAATTGACTCCTGATTCCAAACAACATGAACCCTACCCGTATCCTTGTCATTCGCGCTTTTAGTTTTTCAACCGAAAGCCATCTTTTTCCTAGAAGAAATGGTTGCGCGTTCTTTTGAAATGTGGGTTTGTTTTTGGCAGTCTCTGAGCGATACGGAATCCGGACCTGCCGAAAAATCAAGTTTAACACGGTATTTACGATACAAAGCGAAGGTCGGTAGTTCATGGGGGGTCACCGTTTTTTCATATATATGTAAAGAAAGAAAGAAAGATATATCTAAATATGTTTAAGGTTTCCATAGAGTCTTAGAGCGTAGGGAAACCAGTCAGTGGGTTGTCCTGTTTTGCTTGGGGCTCCTCCGGATGTTGCGAGTGTTTCTGCTGCAGTGTGTTTTCTCTAGGAGGTGGTATCAGGGATTGTGCATGGCTTCGTATCGGTTTTTAGGAACTTAGTTAAGTTGCCATAGTGGAGACATGGTAGCCATCTAATATGGCATCCGCAGACGGTGGCTTAACTTAAGCCCCTTTGCAACCTCCGAGGTATCGCTTCTATGCTGCACTTCGCCCCCAGCTCCTCTGCAAGGAGCGGAAGGATCAGAGTGCAGATGAGTTTTTGCAGCGATTCTGTTACGATACCTGGGACGAGGCTCTACAAGACAGCAGCGGCATGAATGCAGTCATGTGTGCCGTGATGTCTGGTGACACGATGATGTTAAAGCTGCTGGCTCAGTGTCGGGCCGATATGAATCACACTCTCCAGGGCATGGGGGATCTGGGATACTACGATACACAGACGGTGCTCATGGCCGCAACGAAGTCACAGCAACATCCCTCGGTGTTGCAGACCCTCATTGAGCTCGAGGCGGATGTCAATGCCCGTGCGCGGACGGGCCTCGTCGCTCTGTACATGTGCCGCTCCCCGGAGCACGTGAAGGTTCAACCCCAACGCCCGAAACTCCCAAACAACCCTAAACCTTGAACCCTAAACCCCCAAAAGGGTCCCCGAAGAAGGGGCCATGCACAAAAAGGAATGTTCGGAGCTTCAAAGCTTCCAAAAATTTCAGCACCCGCAGGTGCTCTTGGAGCGGCGGGCGGAGATGCCCCACTTCGTGCTCACCGGCGTGGCCTCCTTTGCCTGCCCGGAGACCGTGCGAGCGCTACTCTCCTTCCGGTGTGACCCGAACCAAACTGGCGATCCCAGTTCTGGGCCAGGACTTTGTTGGGGGGTTTTTTGGGGGAAAAAAAAGGCTCTAAAGGGCTCTTAAGAGCGGCTTAGGAGGTAGGGCTGGAGGCGGAGATTGTGAGGGGTGGCGCCAGATCGAGTTCGAGGTCTGGATTTAATGTCTTGAAGTACTTGAGCTGGCCTGTGTTGCTCGGCGGCTTATCCGCCGAAATAGTACTAAGGTAAAAGGCAGGTGTAGGCTATACTCAGGACAACCCCAAGTAATGTACTTAGTATCTTCACCTTGGTCCCCCCAAATGCACCAGACCCATACCCAGCCCAGCCCAGTCCCAGTCCGGTCCCAGCCCAGCCCAGCCCAGCCCTAGACCCAGCCCAGCCTAGCCAGTCGAAATCAGGTGCCTATCAACACATTCGCAAAAAACGTTTCGCTCAAAGCTGATTGACCAGCAAAACCCCTCGATCGTTTCTGTAAACCCTGAACCCAAAACCCTAAACCCTAAAACCTAAACCCTAAACCCTAAAACCCCTAAACCCTAAACCCTAAAACCCCTAAACCCTAAACCCTAAAGCCCTAAAAGCAGGCTTCGGGCCGCTGCATGCGGTGGCCCTCTTCTCGCGCCGGAACCGACGGGCGGTGGCCACGGCCAAGCTGCTTTTGGAGCACCGCGCCGACATCAACGCGAGAAAGGAGATCTCCGGAATCCTCATGAGGTGGGTGCCCCCTACATCCCAGGTAGGCATGTGGATGTACATGCAGAGAAAAATCACATAAGTATGAATGTGCATACATATGTCTGTAGGTATGTATATATGCATATAGACACATACACATACATATACAGGTATATCCATAAAGCATATAAGCGAATAAACTACTGATAGACCCTACAGTGCTTCGTTTATATAACGCTGTCATAAAACGAAGGATAAGGCCAACCCAAAGGCTGTAATGCACATGATGAGGAGCTTCGTGCTGATCGCTAAACACTCATTACCAGTCTACACCCCGCGGGGGATGCCCGGGTTACTGGGGCTTGGTGTTTGTTCTATACCCAAGGTGCCCAAGTAGCCTTCGTAATCGCTACGCCCCGAACCCTGAACGTCAAACCTTGAATTTACAACCATGAACATGGAAGCCGGAATGATGAGAACTACTATTCATCAATGTTCCCGTTCTATTTTTGGGTACAATATTTCCCCCAAAGCCTCGTTCAGTCGTTCAGGCCTAAACCCTAAACCCTAAACCCTATGAACTCCTTCCGAGAGCGAGAAGCCCTCCGCTTTTAAAGCAAGGGGCAGGAGTCGAAACCCTAAGTTGCCAGGCCTGGCACGGTTTAGAGTTTAGGGGTTTAGGGTTTAGGGTTTAGGGTTTAGGGCTGGGCCTTTTTCCAAATGCCCATAACCTCAGCACCCTAAACTCGACGAGATTGTCCCGTAGACCTAAGATACTGCGACGGGCGCAAAGCCCTGCGCCATCCTTGTTTTTGGCAACCTGTAGGTGCTAGTGTATCGCAGACCATAGTGAAGTATGCACTGGAATCCTAGATACAATCACACATCAGCAGACAGTGTTGTACACAACTTTTCCTGTGCCGAACCCCTAAACCCTAAGCCTTAAACTTAAACCC